AGCACGTAGTTTTCCTCTATTGTCATACTATAATAACTGTCCATTACATAAGCCAAGATCGTGTTTGGATTTAATTGAAACCCTCAAAATGAATATCTTACTAGAAAACAATGGTGATCCAGCTTTATGTAGTTGCCTTATTATAAACATATATATAATAATTCACATATCTCGAGTATGCTGAGTACAGAGTACATATAACCGATTTACGGTTATTTTTTATCTTTCAGCTTTATCGCAGTATCAATGACTCCGGAGTCCAGACTTATTTTCTTCGACCATTTCCTAATGTGGCGGAATCTATAGTCTATACAACATAATATGAGACCAATAGTCTACAAATGTAATATGTAATATAGCCCATGATTACATATTGTTTGCACAGTATATTATAGAGTAGACAATGGAACGTTTTTCGTCCTTTTATCCTATTACTAGATACAAGTTACCTATCACAAAAGAGTAGAAAATAATGAATGAATCAGCAAACGTTCCATGTAGGTAGGTATGTTTAAATTGTTGAATGTACTACGTGATCCCGTCTCTTATTGCATGTATAAATTGCTACAATATTTACACAATAAAGTGTAATTTAAAATAATTACATACACCTATGAATACGTGTAATGTATTTAAATACATTAAATATTGATATATAACAATGTTTTGTCATTAAAGAAAATATCATAAACTATAATAATATTATATTATAAATTATAATAGTTATTAGTTAACACCATTACCTATAGGTTTATAATGCATGGTTGAGAACTTTCCAATAATATAACTAGGATTAAATAGTAAATACATGCAATCTATATTAAACATAAAATAAATTGAATTTGTTTGAGTTCGGGACAAAATTCCTACTATAATAATATACGAGGTATTTCAAATAATATAAAATAAAATTTGTGGGGATTACATAGTAACTTTATACGTAATTCTTCTCCATTTTCGTCACACAATATTTAAAAGACCCTAAAGTAGTACAGAACCAACATATAATGAAACAAATAACGCACAGGGTGATTTGTATACTTAGATTATACATTTATATATAGATAAAAGATAAATACCTTCAAAATATTGTACAGAATATTATTATATTATTCCATATAGTATACTCACTATTTTACAATCTCAAACCTCTTTACTGTTATAACTATCAGACACATTTAAAACTATTCAATTACCTGTACCATTTTTATTTCACTGTAAAACAATATGTAAATAATAACTAATAAGAGATTGGTTGGACTCTCCTTCAACGCTAAAGTCTTAAGCATAAGCTCTATAAGGGTACACTTCATAAACTGAGCGTTCACAGTTCAATACGATAATAGTTTATTACACTATCCATCACTTCAAATTTATCAACTTAGTGCCGCACCGTAATAATATTTAACAGAGCGTTACACGTTTGTGAACGAATGTGTTATTTGTTGTTTTATTAGGAGTTGTGACATCGTTAAAAGATTCGGCTAAAGAATAATAAAGTTGAACTTTACTTTTATAATGAATGATAATTCAAAATGTATAGCTCCAGGTTATTTTATTATTTTTATTACATAAATCATTATTCCTTAACAGGAATTACTCATTTATTTTGACAAAATTACAATATTAAAAACCAATTAAGTTATTGTAAAATCTATAAATAAAACACTTATAACATGTTATTATAGCTATACGAAACTTATAACATATTTTTATTTAGTATTAATGTATTATGAAACCATATTTACTAGAGCAAATACTTATAGGTACCTAATATTTTATAAATATATTATATTATATATCTAAATCTCTTATATTTTCTTATAATTCATGCCTTGAACTTAAGCTATCGTTATTTTATTTTATTTTAGATATCTAATTCTAAGTAGGTATTATATTGTGTAAATATAAGATAATATACAACATAAGAATTTATTAACTGTATCAGTGTATCAGTGTATCTAGTAATGTATTAAAAATTTAAAACATATAAGCAATGTATCTCTAGACGTACTATTATGTCCCCGTATTTTATAATATTCTTATTTTCCTGTGACCGTACAAGTTTTGGAAACCATGATTTGCATTATTTTAAACTTAAATAATTACATCATATAGATCTCAAAATTAAAATCTTAAAAAAAACAATAAATATTTTATTTTAGGTAGCATACGCCGGTTGCAGTGGATAAATAGTGTAGCAGTGAAACTCAGTGAAACGGTTAATTAATCAGTTATTAATATTAGTATTTAGTATTTACTATTTAGTATTTTTTTAATGCTATCTCCAAGATAACCGACCATACTTGCAAACATGAAAGAGGCAAGTTCTGGGTATAAACTATAGAGGTATTTGAGTTTATTTTATGTTCCATAAATTAGTTCAAACATATAAGCTTAAATTATTAATTTTAAATTTTTACTGCTTTTGGTAACTAAACAAATTAGTAATTACTATAAATGACTAACGAGTGCCCAGGGGCGTCCCTGAGGGGAGGCGACCGGCCCTCCATAAGACGTGAGATGTTCTATTTTTGCTAATAGATAAAAACATTTTATAAAATTAGTTAATTGTTCGTACACTGATTATACAGACCAATGATACAAAAAACAAACATATAGGTTATTTAAACATACAGATGTTAGTAGTTAAGTTATAGCTTAAGTTTTTGTTTAGCAATGCAATATTCAAGACTAAAATGTTTTCGCCCCTCCCATGGAATTTACCTGAAGACGCTCCTGCGAGTGCCTCTGATGCCTCCTATACATATTTATACCAACAATTACGAATATTAACAATAATGTTGATTTAATCTTTGTAAAAAAAATCATCACAAAGTCAAATATTATTTCCGATTAAACAAAATCGTATGAGTTTGTTGGTTTAAGTGTTAAAATCTTAAGACATAGTAGTAGATTCCTGAAAATATTAATTTAGATACCTATTCAAAACTATAAGATTATAGTTGAATGTAAAAATTATTGTTAAAAATTATTTTTACTTAAATAATTTTGAACAGGCTGTGTTTTATTAAGAAGGCTACCCATTTTGTTAGTGTATTTAAAGAACGGCAAGCCTATGTAATTATTACTTAGGAGCTTGTTTGCAATGTCGGTTGCGCGTTGAGTTCAAAGGTTAACATTGCGTGTGGATTCGACAATGCGAAGAAAGCATAACGTAATATCCAACGCCAAAGAGCAATCACTCATTTATTCCTAGCGTATGGACATAGATAATGGATTACGTTAATTGCACATTAAATAAGATTCAGACTGAATAAAGTAAATAGTAAATACAGACTATACAATAATGAATTTGACCCATACAGTCAGCTTTAACAAATATACGTTTGTTAAAGAAATATTTAAGTAGTAAATATATAGGTTCATATAATGTAAAATGTTTTGAGAAAGAAAAAAGTTAAGCTCCTATTTTTAAAAGTAAGTTCATATTAGATTCATATAATACTGCGGTCTGCGGTGTATTACAAAATAAATTAAATACAGTACCTACCTAGATACTTGGAAATCGGTTATTAATATTGATTTATACTTTATATTATATTATATATATTGAAAATAAATCTTACAGAGATAAAGGGGACCAATGATATACTCAGGATTCTTCAATGGGGGGGGGGGGGGGGTAGCTTGAAAATATTAGTTACAATTTTATTTCGTCCAGTCTAATAATTTCAGACGTTTGTATTTTAAAATGTTTGTAACTTCTCAACTTTTCTAGTAGAAAAAATGCTGTGATCATAAACTTCGATGCCCGATGTATGTTTTTGGAAGCAAATTGGATCTAGTTGGTACTTATAGGAGGTCGAAATTGAAAATGCTCAGTGCTTTTTAAAATAATTGGAGAAAAAAAAATTAAAATGTATTAAAACTGTTTGGTAACCAGCTTGGTACCGTCCTATACCGTCCTCACTTGGATTGTATTTGATTAATTAAATTTTTTTTTCTATAAATGTCAATAAAAAAATATTTATAAGGTCAAAAAGCTTAAAAATGTAATACGTAAGTTTTTATTATAGCTAAAATATTAACGATACATAGGCATCATGGTTATTTTTTATAAGAATTTAAAGTTCAAATTTCGTCAAAACCAAAGTTGATTTGTACAAAACTTATAAAATATTAGTTATATTTAGCTAAGGCTAGACAATTTAATATCTTTCATACAAGCAGGGTTGGGCAAGATACTCAAAAAAAAGTATCATAACACATACATTTAGTGTATCGAGATACAAGATACAAGATACATTGTGAATGTAGAAAAGATACAAGATACAAGATGCATGTATCAAAGATACATGATACTTTTATATTTCCAATCAAATTTTATTAATTATAAAACGTAAAATGTCTATACACAATTCACTATACCGGCTATACATAATAAATACATAATATTATTATTATACCTACATAATAATAGTATTTATTATTTTTTAGTATTCATTATATATGGTCTAAAATTATTTTTATTGGTCTAAAAATATGATATTAGAAACTTTTAGAGTTCAAAAAAATCTTAAAAATTTTATTATCACATCAATTTTTTTCTTTAATAAGTAATATTTTTTTATTGATATTTATTATTAATTGATACAGAAATCAACAATACTTTGTACGAGGGGAGTTAAAATGTACTGTCATTTAAAAATAATGTTTCATTTACAACTACCTACATAAAAACATTAATATGTTGGAGTAAATGTTTTAACATTTTTTTATTTAGGTATAATTCGTACTTTCTTTTCAGGGCGGAGCAACATTTTACTATAAACTCTACGGGGGAATAAAAAGGGAGAGGTTTATATTTAAAGGAGACACAAGCCGATATGAAACCAATTACAAAGATTTGATTTCGCTGTAAACATATAAACTGTACTATAAAAGTTTAATTTTTACTATATAGTGTTATAAAATACTACATTTTTATTTTTAAATATTTAAAAGTGTTGTATAATTATTAAAGAAAATATATAAATATGATGTTAGTAAAAGAAGGATTATTTTGTTTCATTTTATTCACATGGATATTGCTGATCCAAGGTCGTCCTCAAGCGGACTCCATGACTAAAACTTCAGAAAAACCAGAGCCAGTAAGTACTAAATCGATTAGATTTCTTACTTTAAATCAACTACTCAAAATTTCATATTAAAAATATATTTACAAATAAAGCAAACAACAATAATATAATAAAAAATATGAAATAACTTTCAAACTTATATTATTATTTCATTAGAATATTGATAGACATTAAAGAAATATTAAATAATTCAATGCTTTGTTTTTAATTTTAACATTGTACCCAACGATTGTAATAGGCTCATACTCATTATGGGATAACTTTGTAAGGTTTTTAGGAAAATACAAAAGTTCACAAGTTTTTAGTGTGGAGCTGTGGCGCGGTTTTTGACTTCAGTCACAAACGTGTTCTGAGTGCCAGCACCAGCCAGTGTCACTAGTTCCTGGATGGGTGACCACCTGGGTTTAAGTGGCAAATCTTGCCATAATGATACAAATAAACGTATTCAAACCAATCATACCCTCCCCACAGTAACAGGCTCAGGACCTTAGTTGTTGAAGCCTTAACTCAAAAATAAAATAATAAAAAGTTTAGAATTTATTATTATTTTTTTTTATTCATAGTGAAGCATCATCTACTAGGTTATTACTTATTAGCTTATAACAAAAACAATATTAGTTACATATAAATAATACAATTGTTTCCTTAGACCTTAGATTAGGTTGTACATATCAATAAGTTTCAGAAATGTGATTATTTTGTTGGTGCGTAGTATTGGATTTTGCCAAGGGCTTCGAAGAGGTTGTCAGACATTTGTAGGCCAATTATTATTTAAATATATAAAACTATGATAAAGGTTTTTTTAATTTAAAAGCAATGATAAATCTTTATATTTTATAAATAATTTATAGCGAAACTAGGGTTATCCACCAAAACAAATGAAGATTTTTTAAACCGATTATTTATATTTTCTCTTCATATTTATGAAATTCAAAATTACTAGCCTGAAGTTAATCTGTCCAACCAAGAAACTAAACACAGATTAAAAACATCTTAAGTACTATTAATAAATGTTTAAACTATTCTATTTTATTCATTTTATCAATATATAGCTCTGCATAAAACTCAGGTGCTTAAATATATTTTATCTACGCTTTAATATTTAGATAAGTTTAAAACAATAATTATCAGCCTTTTATATTATTATTATCAATAAATGTTGAAAATTTTTTATATTTTTCTTTTTTATGAAATATGCTATAATTTAAATTACGTTTAATCTTTTATACCTATACAATTACATTTTTGTTCTATTATAATTGTTCATAATTAGTTTATTATATTTTACTTAAAAATGAATACATTAAAAACAAATGGTATAATAGTTACCAGTAATATAATTTTTTACCTCATGACATTTTTTTATGTCTCCTAATCTCATAAAGTCCTAACAATAGCCTTATTTATTATTGTGGACAATGGACATGTATTATATTATAATATATACATTTTAGGTGGTTACATTTTACAATAGGCAAAATAATTTTATTTTAATAATTATTATATACAGAGTGATTCATTTAACGTACAACAGTCGTCATTGATATTAACAGCTAATTAATTAATATTCTATAAATACCTATACACCTAATATAAAATAGTATCCATTTCTTAGAAAAAAATTTTAAATTGTTTTGATGAGTAAATTAAAATGCCCCACAACCTATTTGGATTGAATTATTATTATTTTAATAAAGAATTAAGACTTTTCAAGAGTACTTTGTACGTCTCCAAAGCAAATAAAGGTACCTACACTCGTAACACAACACTTTAACACTTATTATACTAATTATATAAACTTTATAATACACGTTTGTTTATGTTACGAGTTACGGGCATATCTATTCAGTCGTTACCTTATATAATATAATATAACAAACATTATTTGGATAAGAGAATAATTATCTAAGTGCTCTTTTCTATTCTATAGTAGGTAAATTAAGTATTTCTATAAGTGTACAATATAAATTACTTATTAAACATATTTAGCTTCGATATAAAATATCTAACTTTAGTTTTTACATAATATTGGATTCACAAATAAAACTTTAAATTTACCTAAAATAAAAATCTGTGAATAATACAATTTGTCATAGATAAATTAAATTTTAGAAAAAATATAATTACTATAATTTATGGTGTTACTATGGGGGGAAGAAATGCTCATCCAAACACTTTCCATTCCATCATATTAGTTACCGTGCCGATGCCACACTTAAAAAAGTAAGAAAGTAAAAGGCTTATTTAATATTTTTAAAATATTAGAAATATAAAAACTAAGTTTACTATGATAGAGAAAAATAATATAGGTAGAAGGAAATTGTATAGTGAAAACCCTTAATAGGGATTAGTGACTTAATATTTTGATCTCCTACTACTTTTTTTTTTTATATTTACAAATATTTAATTTAATTAATTATTTCAAGTACGAATACCAATACAAAGTGGAAGATAAACCAAGTGGAAATTACTATGGGCAAAACGAAGTTGGCAAAGATACAGGTCGCATAGAAGGATCGTACTTTGTATATCTTCCGGATGGTAGACTCATGACGGTCACATACTACGTTGATGGAGAAAGTGGTTTTGTACCAAAAATCACCTTCCAAGATAATGCTAGCCCATTTGGAAATACTGAATCAAATTCTATTCAGAGAAGATAGAACAATTTAATAAGTATTTTTTACTCTTTTGCTTAAATATTTTCCGTACTTTAAAAAATTCATGCAAAATATGAACAGATATCCTCGGCAAAATTTTATAATATTACCTATAGTATGTACCTACATGTATTAGATACTGTATGTACCTATTATATGTAAATATAATCGGATAATCCAATGGAAAAAAAAATATTATTGTTACTTGTTTGTATTTAATTAACTTCAGAATTTATCTTAAAAATACAGACCCCCTCATTATTGTACATAATAGAAAATATATCCACCATATATACACATTTTACTTGCATAACAATATAAATGTTACGTCGGTACCTACCAATATATACATTTATATAGGCCGATATTGTACTTGCTTTTGAATATTTTTTAAATTAATATAGGTAAGTATTATATATAGTATTCTATGCTGTTTGAAATTGTTAAATTTGTCTTTCTGTTATTAATTTTAAAGCATATGATTTTGTAAAACTGTATAAAATGAATAAATATTGATAATAGCTATAATATGTAATATAATTATGTTTGAGTTATTTCACTGTTTTTGCATGTACAATTGTATAATGTATATTGTATAACCTTAATAAATTACAAATAATTCAATTTAAGTTTAGAACCATTACTTAAATTAATTTTATGTCTTGACGATTGAAATTGTCATTACTTAAGTATTAATATCTACTGCCAGACACAGTGTATGCATTCATTTCCAAGTAAATATTTATTTTTATATTTTAAAATTTACGCAGGGCAGAAATGTTCAAATGTTGATGAAAATTACAAACTAAATTTAGAATAAATACCTAAATGTAACAGATAGGTTTAGAAATGTAAATTAAATAAAAAAAAGTAGAATACGATTCTTGGAACAGAATTAAAGTTAAATGTGTAAGTAGATTATAATCGGCATGATTTATTATAAGTAATATTTTATGAATAAGATTATTGTGTCCCACGAGTTGTGTGGTTAGGTATGACGAATAGCTGGTGAATTCTAGAGTTGTAGAAAGGAACACGGTAGGGGATCTAGAAAAGGGGATCATCTATAGAATCAAAGAAGGGAAGAAATGAAGTTGGAATAAGCGTCGAGGCATCGAGAAGAAAAAGTAGTAATTTTGAGAGCATGAGGGAATAGTCGAGAAGAAGGTCTATCTTAAGAATGAATACAGCTTAGGACAGCAATTTGTTTCATTCATGTTTGCTAAGTATATTATTAATTTGTCCTTTCCAAGATATAGTGGCCAAATTACACACGTACTGGACCGTACTTTAAAATGGATCGCACCAAATCAAAAGTGAGGATGCAAAAGCAACTATAGCATTGGTAAAAGTTTTATAAAATATAATAATGATATTTTCATGGAAATCATGTATATTTATATATTTATATAAGCCATAAGGTGATTCATTTTTGTCTATAAGACTATATTCATTATTTCTGAACATTTAAACTTTTTGGAAAAAAATTTTTATCAACTTTAATTAAGTTTTAAGATACTTTAAAACTATTTTATACCTATTTTAAGTAATTTTAGTAATAACAATGTATAGTGTATACACTGCAATATTTAAAAATTGAGTAGTTATACTTATAAATTATTGTATCATACATTCATACCTTCATTGATGTTTTCGTCATAATGATAGCGGTAGCAGTACTATCAAATTGAGGCCTTCCAGCTCTCCCGACCATTTGTAATATTTGACATTCGTTATATTCTTTATAGCCATTAAAGGAATAATATTCAGTAGATTTTATAATAACTAAATGTGCTGGTAAATTAACTCCCATCGCTAAGGTAAATTATAATAAATTCAATATTAATTTATAAGATTACTAATATTATCCTTTAGTAAGTTTATGAGGATCAATACCTAAAGTACTAGTAGCGATAAGTATGTTTAAGCATCCATTACAAAACAAATTTTCTACTACACTTCTTTCTTTGATAGACATGCCAGCGTGGTGAAAGCCAATGCCGAATTTAAACATTTCTATAAAATGTATACAATCCAAGTAAACAATAATAAATATATTATAAAGGTTCGTATACTTTTTTAATATTTGTTATTATTTAGTGTGACACTCATACAGTATTATTAAAACTGTATTGATTTCTTTTAAATCCAGGGATTGAAATTACAATAAACATTTTCTTTTTTAAAGTAAGTAACATTAATTACAATTGATATTTGTAAATATATAACTTTTTTATATAGTTTAATATTTATGTAAAAATATGTAAGGGGAACGGAGTGGCCTAGCGGACTAAGACGCCGGTTCGATACCTCGGCCATAGGCGGCATTTTTCTGCGGGCAAGTCACGGTGTCCGGAGAACAAGTGCCGCCTCCCCCACCCGGACATGGCAGATACCTATACGGGTGCCCAAATCAAAAATTCTGCCAAAACAAACACTCCCCCTACCAACAAAAACTTACAAACAAAACAAAAAATAACTAATGGCCTTAGCCCTTAGTTGCCGGGCTCAAGCTCAATAAAAAAAAAAATTTATAAAATATATAATAATCCAAATACCCTATGCATAAAATACTAAACTATTAGTATAAATATCAAATAGGTTGCTAAAGGGAAAAAGAAAATACATTTAAATATTTAATGAATTTTAATTATATTTTATTCCAAAACAACGTTCAAGAAATACTGTAAATGCCAAATGTATATTAAAATATATTTTTAATACCTTTCATTTTCTTGTTATTAATTTCCTTTGAAAATTCGTTGATACAACGTTGTTTGTCGTCAGATAATGAAATTGTAATGTCTTTCACTAAAATACTACAAGTGAATTCTACGCTTTTCCTTGTAGAACAAAATATCTAAAATTTGTTTTTAAAGTTAGAAATTAACCTAAAAATAAAGTTTATATTGGATTTCTATAAAAGTATTTCCTTACTAAGGTAGGTCGCCCGTTTGAATACTGTCTTATTAAAGGTTTAAGTTTATAGGTAAGATCAAAGTCAAATTTGAAACTACTTGTCTTATAGTTATAACCTAATACAATTTTTTGTAATTTCACCGGTCTTTCGTCTTCAGAACTTCTGTGAAATATTACGTATTAATGATTAATAAAATAATATTATAAAAATATACAATATTAAATAAAATAGCAAAAACAGTTTTAAAAATAATTCTCATTTCATTTTTTTATAAAATGTAATTGTATAATTGTATCGTGTAAAGTATACTTCAAGTAATGGGCAGAATCATTTTGATCATTAGTTAACCATTTAGCAATATCTTCAACATTTGTCACTGTTGCAGATACAGCAATAAAACGTAATGTAAAATCATTTATTTTTGGCCGCTGAAAAATAAAATAAAAATAAAATTTGGTTTATTTCTACCCGTGTTTTTATATAATATAATATATTATATTTTATAAATGTATTTACAATTTTTGGAATTAGTTTTATGCGGCTGACAATAGTTTCTAATGTAGCACCACGAATCCCATCGTTTATTAAATGAACCTTTGAAATGCATGGAATTTAATTTAGAATTTTATAAAATAGTTCGATAATGACCTACTTCATCAATCAAAAATAGTTTGACCATGTACATTTGATACTTAAATTCTTGACATTTTTTCGTCAATGAATCCCATTTTTCCGGAGTAGTTATTATCAACTGATAATCAGTAATTAAAGATACATAATCGAGAACTTCTGAATCCCCAGTTATTTCAATACATTTAAGTCCATGAACTGTAAATTTATTTTTCCAATCTTCATGACGTTCTGAACACAATGCTTTTATTGGAGCCACTAACCACAAATGAGTATTGATAATAAAATGAATACATACAAATATACAATATGTATAAATGTATAATATTATGTTGACTTTGAGTACATTGTATAAATTAACATAATATAAATTAATTTACCGTAAATTATTTTAAAGTTTTGTAAATTATCAGAAAACTTGCCGAGCATTTCTAAAAAACGTATTATAGCTAATTCAAAAATAACTGTTTTTCCGGATCCAGTTGGTGAAGACACAACGACTGACTTATCTTGAATATAAACACAATTATAATTGATATTAGTCGTATTCTGTATCATAATTTCAATTTTTTAGTAATTATCAAACACGATATAGGTTATAACCTAACCTAATAACCTACCTTTGTAAATTTACATAATTCAATATTAGTAATTTCAACCAAATTACTCTGATTACACGTCTAACTAGTAACTTAGCAAATTAACTTACCCACTACCCACCAAGTTTTTGCAGTTGGGAAGTTATATTAATTGACCAGGGATAAAATAACTTTAACCAGTCCATTGTAAAAATAGAAAGGAAATTATTTTACAGTAATAAGATATAGGAAAATTTGTATATCTTATATTTTTACATGTTTAAGGGTTTGAACATACTATTGTAAAAGCATATACCTAATTCATATTTTAACATATTTTAGTTTATATGTCAACCAAATTAAATAAAACTATTACTTGCAACATTTATAGATACACGCTCCAATACTAGAATATAAAATATAACCATTGCTTACTATATTAGACCATAGCAAAGGTAAATGTACCTATATAGTTGTGATTTGTGATACACCTATTTATTCCAATGTAAATACATAGTTATTAAGTATTATATTATTATAACATATATTGAGAATTATTTTAAAGACTTTTTTCAATTTGATTTTATATTTGTATCATATTATCTATGTAGGTAGTTAGGTAATAAAAAACATTTGTTTTCAAAGTTTAATTTTATATTCCAGACACTGCATGAGCGCCAGAATCGATTTTAAGTAATGATATCGTTCAAAGATAGATTTTTATGAAATTAAAATAAAATATATAGAGTATACATTTTTTATTTAAGTATACATGGACATGTGACACAGTGACAGTGTGGAGTAAAAATGTGGAGTACAGAAACTGACACATGGGTGGGTGTGTGATAAATGTCAAAAATATATAATAAAATAAAACAATTGTTCTTTTGCTTAAAAAAATTATTTATATGGCACAAAAATACATATTTTAGATAGGTATTATATACACAAAGGTTATATTTGTGTAATACCTATACACAAATAAATATTTTGAACATTTGAACATTAGTTGAAAATAGTAGTAAATAGGTATGTCAAAAGTATAATCTTATATTGAAATATTAAAATTATTTATTCGTTTGTAACTAAACTTTTTCAGTTCAAATCCATATAAATACTATAGATAACTCGATGTATTATAGTTAGTGATCACTGGTCACTGAATACTGATCAGTTTTTAAAAATCATTTTTATAATATACAATATCATTATCGCTAGCTGATCTTGCACGGAAAAGCGTTGACCGTAACAAATTAAATGCCCGTAGATTTAAACTCTTAAATGGATGTTCCAAGCATTTTTAACACAACAATTTGGGTAGTTAAGACTCTAAAATACAGATATAATTATATTATATCCAATAGCAACCCTATAAAAACGAAAAAAATATTCGTTTTTCGTGAGCCAACAAATCTGTAAGTATTCCAACCAACCCATGACCATTTTATAAAAGTAGAAATTTCCATAGATATAAATGAAAATAAAAATAAGAATTTTAAGTATATTAAGTGTATATTTTATCCAAATTACCGATATATATGGGCATATGGCCTCGCAGTATTAATATAAATTTCGAATGTGGCCTGCAAGTTAAAAAAGTTGGGCACTCCTGGTTTAGACAATATAGTATCTAATATTAGCCATTAAGTACCAACCTTACATTGAGTTACATATAAAATAATAGTAGGAACATACCAGTATTGAAAATAGCGTCGATTGCTTTTGTCTGTATTTTATTGAAGTACGCAAAATTTGAAAATATATGTCTATATTTTTCTGCTAAAAATGATCAACCAAAAATAATAATTAATTTTTTTATTTAATACAATGTAGTTTATTATATTATTTACATTTTTGGATTTTTTATATTAAAAAACGTTTCAACAAAATATATTGTCTAGCACTATTAAGTACCTATTCCAAATATTTATATCGAAATCAATTTAAATACCTATATAATATCAGAGTATCAACTCTTGAACTATAAACTATAGACTATAAACTATAAACTATAACTAAATGTTAATTTTTAAATTAATATTGTTACCAACTCACGCAATTTATTTACTGAATACAGTTGGTTATCACAAGTTGATGAATTCATATCTTCATTTGCATTACCTTTAAAATGTTAAGTATTTAAATTTAAATGTCACATTTATTTATTTTATATTATAGTAATATACAGGTTATAATTTACAAATATTGAAATATACCATGCAATATTTCCGATTTTATTATTTTTTTTTAATTATTAAATTCGATTATTCAAATTAAGGTTATGATTTCAACAAGTATGCTAGGATGACACAACTTCTCCGCTCAGAATAATTGTTCATATGCAATGGTTTATCATTGAATTTAAGTATAACACATCCATTACAATGACATACTCTACAACTGCTGAACAGCAGAGCGGTACCCACTTGACCACTTTTTTTTTTATTATTTTTTTTTTGTGTCATCATCTTTTGAGAGAGTAAAAATGCTTTAATATTCTTCAACAGCAATTTTTTCTGGAAGGAAAGTGAATCCAATTGGTACTTTGGAGGGGTCATTTTCTGTACATCAAAATGTTCTAAATATTGTAACTCGTTTTGAATTATTATTTAGACATTTGAAATTTTCAGTTTTTTTTAGTTTTTTATTCTATAAATGCCAATAAAATTGTAATCGTTAGGTCAAAAATTTAATACAAGGTTCTTCATAAGTAGTTGAGAAATTTCAAAGAACCATAGGCACAATTTTTTTCTATAAGTATTTAGGTAATGTTCTGTATGTTGTTGATAAAAAGTATTAAAATCTTGAAAATTGTCAAATTTATTGTAGTTAAAAAATTATTAAATGTTAAATGTCTAAAACTAAGGATTTAAAAATTAAAACAAGGATTCTCATAATTAGTTCACACTGTAACCAAAAAATCTAAAAAATACATAAGCATGGTAATTTTTTACAGACATTTTAAGTTCAAATTTGGACGAAATTACATAATAATTAAAACCAAAAATAACGATTTTAGATATTTTGTTGTAATTTAAAAATATTATTTTGAGGGTACCTACTTGAGATATTTAGTGTACCTACCATGTTATTTTGTATACACGAATACAATTTGTTTGACAAAAATTAATTTAAAATTTAACCTTCTGTAGTCTAGTATCAATGCCTAATAGTAATAATAAATTAATTTAATCACAATAGTATCATCAAATTCACTTAGTAATATCACAGAATAGATTTAATAGTAGTAGCCAGTAGGTAATATTATATGGGCTGACAGACCGTTTCCGCTCAGAATCGTTTTTCGTAGGTATTCAATAATTATTGAATTCAAATTTAACACATCCATCACAGACTCTCTACTCTCGAGACACCTTTTATACAGCAGAGCCCAGTTACCCACCAGTTTTTTGATGTGTAAACATCTATGCTATCGGTTTGTAGTACGAATATCTAATTTCCCCCTTCTTGGGGAATCGAGCGTCAGTCGTAAGTCATGTAGATGTGACTGCTTGAGTGTGTGTGTGTGTGTGTCGTCGCCATAGCGCTAAAATCGCAGAACCAATAAACCAGGCGAGTTGCTTATATACTATTTTCTGTGTTATTTTCACGAGTCTGGTAGGTGCGAACGCGCTCTGGTACAGTCGTCGACCGATTCATTATTATTATTAATATTATTTATTATTCTCGTTTACGTATACGCGCGAAACCGTGTTTGTATCGTATAATATGTATTATACAAATTCCCACTCAAACCATGACATTATATTCCCCAATCAAAGTCGTACTACAGCTAAGATGTTTACACGTCATTCGTGAGTACAAAGGCACTCACATTTTCGTATACAATGATATGATATCATTGAATTCAAATTTAAAACAACCCATTATACAGTTACCAACTTGTAACCTACTGTGCAGCAGAGCGACATCCACTTACCCGCTTTTTTTTTTTTTTACTAGGTATACGGGAAATAATCTTTTAATTACGTGTTTGGGAAAAATACGGGAAAAGCGGTGTTCAGGAATTTCCATTCGGGAAAAAGGCCGTAAGCGATCAATGCATTTAATCAAATGCATCAAATTGTATTATTATTTTCTCGGTAGAAACTCAAACACAGAAATTAATTTCAAAATATTTTTATTTTCTGCGATTCTAGTTTCAAAGAAAACATTAAAGAATTAAATAAGGAAGCAAAGTAGCTTATTAAAATATACTAGGCCTGTAGCCGTGAGCTGTATAATATATAAAAGTTTATGTCGGTAACTTACACATATAATGTAAAGCAACGAGTTTACGAGCTAATTACTTATCACTTAATAGTTTCAACTTCCGCATAATAAAAATCACCTAAACGCGAAAACATCATAATATTGTTGTTTTATATAATATTTACCATTATATGTTGAATGATGTTCATCTGTATCAAATTTCGATAAACAAATGCCATCGTTGCCATTATTATTAGAGTTCATGTTTGAACAAATAAGTTATACAAACTCCATTTAAAACGTAATATATGGTTTCTTAATTTTTTTTGAACAATAAAAGAAAAACAACATTTAATGTGAATAGCTTATAAAATATTATACCAGAAGTCCAGAAGTCTAGAACACTATAGAACAGTTGAGAGTTGAAAACCAATAGCGAAAACCGTCTTAAATATATTGGCGAACTTGATTTTTTCGCGGTAAATATAAAAGTGAGGTTAGATTCATAGTTTTATAAGCAAAATTAATAATTAGAAAAATTTAATTTGGATAGGACTTTGCTTTTATAATTTTTATATTTATACTTTAAACAATACTGTAGTATAATGCAAATAATTTCAATAAACATAATTTATTATTTAATTTAAATTAATTTATTTTAGGTTATGTGTTAAAAAATTATTTAGTTTGCCGCCAATTTATTTTATCAATTTATCGACTGTTGTTATTATATTTACACAGTTCACTTTTCCACAGATTCCAGTATTCCACTTTTCTGTTTTCACGCTTTTCAGAGTTTAGAGTTTCAGACTTCAGTTGAGTTCAGTAGTTCAGTTCTTCTGGCAAACGTCACAAGTCACAGTCACAATCACAAACACACAACAGTAAACAACATATTGTTTACTAATGTAATACCTATTTAACTAATAATTATTTTGCTTTATTGTTTAGTTGTTCAGTTTAATATCTTAATGCATTTCTTTAACTGATATTGCAATAAGACTTAAAGTTATGTCTGAAACTAAAGAGTTAGATTATCCAAGGTATGCCCATGTAGAAGGGCACACGGATGTATGTTACTCGGAAGATGGACGGTAAGATTAACACACAATTACATGAATAATTTTATATTGTCTAATATTTAAATTTGAAGACAGTACCTAATTAAATTTAATGTATACGAATCTTATATTTCTGAACATTAAAAGTTCAAACTAGTGTTAGCCAAAAACTATTCTTAAACTGAAAAAAATTAAAACTTGGACAGATATTTGATTACGTGTGGTCAGGATGGAGATATACGAATATGGGATGGTATTGAAGATGGCGATCCTATTGAAAAATGTGTTGGTAGTGAAGCATTTGCCGTACATCAATCAGTAATATCAATAAATTAAATTACAAAATATAATATTGACTTTATTATTTTTATTTTGGACCTAAAATGTTTATATAATTGTAAATTCAAATTATTTTTAGGGAGATATGTTATATGTTGGCGATGATCATCATACACTTCAAGTTTACACATTTCCAAAAGCAGAGTTAATAGATACATTAACTCGATTTACTGCTTCAGTCTGTTGTTTAGATTCATCTAAGGATGGCAAACTAATTGCTGCTGGTGCATGGTAATATATTATATATTAAGTATATAAAACAAAAAAAAACTTATATTTTTTTTTATAATTTATTTCAGTGACTCATCTATTCAAGTAGTGAATAAAGATACTAAAAGTGTATTGAATTTTAATGGTCACAAAAGTCCAATTTTATCTATTAAATTTGATGCATTAGCTGAGTTTTTGGTAAAATAATAAAATAGAAGAATTTCCCATTCTTTACACTTTTAATTAATATTATCTTAAATCATTACAGGTGTCATCCAGTTGTGATGGAACTGTAAAAATATGGAGTATAGAAAAAAAATCTGTTGTAAAAGAATGGACTAGTGTGATACCAGTTAGCAATGCATTTCAGCATTCCAAGATCAAATGTACTCCTGCATGGGATCCTATAGATGGAAACTCATTAGCTATACCTTTTGGCAAAGAAATAAAATTGTTCCAAAGAGGCTTATGGAGAGAACTTTACACACTACATGACTACCGATTATCAGAACAAGTAATTACATTCAAATATTTTTTTATTTTATAATTTTATCTGAATTTGCTTCAATTAAAAATAAAAATAATTAATTGCTATACCCTGATATTTCTTTGCAATATCATGATATAATGTTATTTTAGGAGATCACTGTTATGAGTTGGTCAAAATGTGGTAGATATATAGCTGCTGGAACAAACACAGGATTTATATTGGTGTGGAATGTATCATCTCAAGTAATTGTATTACATGCAGAGTGTAAGGAACGATATTCTATAAGAAGTTTAGTCTGGTGCCCTAAAAATGGTGAACACACACTAGCCTATTGTGATGATCATGGCCAATTAGGTTTGGTTGAAAATGCTGAATCAGATGATTTTAATATAGATCCAGTAAGTTTAGGTGATACTTAATCTTATTTACTAGCAATAATTCATTTTTATTCAATTATTATTTATTACTAATATTTAATGATATCAACATAATTTGGTAATAGCTTATATGCATGTTATAAATCACATGAGTATTTACATATCTAAATCCTTTGGTGAACCTCATAATAAATTATTATTAATTATGACCCAATTCTTCTCTTAGACTTATGACAAGGAAAACATATTAATGATGGATGAAGAGTCTAGTGATAATGTTATATCATTAGAGCAAATAAAACACGATGCTGAAGTTGAACTTAACAAGCAAAGAGGTGTATCTTTAAATAATGTTGATGGTTTAGAAATTGATGACGACAATAGCAATTTGTCTTCTAAATATATTCCTCCTACTGCTAGTTTCACTGTGGATCTACAAAGTCCATTTCAACCTTGTTCAACACCTGTTCATCTACAAAGGCGCTTCATGGTAATAATTTATAGTATCCAACTTGTTACAAATATTAAGTTATTAGTTAATTTTATTTTATTTCATATTAACTTAAGTAACTTATACATTTTTAAGGTTTTCAACGATGTTGGTTATGCTCGTCAAACTAACACTGCTGATGAAAATGTAATTGATGTAGATTTTCATGATAACACTGTCCATCATGCTTTTCGTATCAAAAATGTCTTAGGACATACTATCGCTGCTATGTGTCAAGAAGCATTAGTCTTAGGTTGTGATACTCAAGATAATACACCTAGGTATTTGAATAAATATATACTTAACTTAAATAAATATAAAATGTATTAATTACAATTCAAATAGCAAATTGGTCTGTGTACTACTAAATTCATGGGATGGTAAACGTGAATGGACTGTTGATTTACCTGATGATGATGATATATGTGGATTAGCAGTTACTGCTGATTGGATTGCGGTTGCTTCAGTATCGCGTTTATTAAGATTATTTACTCTTGGTGGTGGCCAAAGAGAGATAATATCTATACCTGGACCTATAGTAGCTATATATGGATCCAGAGACCGTTTAGTTGTTGTGCATCATTGTGGGGCCCGTATGTATTAACTACTTTATAATACGGTAAGTCATATTTTATCAAATTGTTTTTTATTTATTTTTAGCTATACCTGGTGAACAAAATTTGCGATATTGTGTGTACAAAATTGATAGCCGTGTTGAAGCCGTTTGTTCTGGTTATGTGCCACTGTTTCCAAAATCAACTCTTAGATGGGTTGGTTTTTCTGATTATGGATCATTGTGTATTCTAGATTCTGCTGGAACTTTACGAATGTTGATTAAATCCTATTGGAGTCCCTTATGTTATGTAGATAATACGGTAATATTTAATTAACCAATAATATAATTTAGATATTTTATTTTTATATTAATCAAAACAAAACTTTAGTGGAAGGACACTACAAATCATTATTTTGTCATTGGAGTCAGTGAGGCACGTCAAGATATAAGATGCATTCTTTGTAAAGGTTCTTATTATCCTGCAACAACACCTCATCCTTTTTTGAATGAAATACCCTGGCAGGTTATTAATTTTCATTATTTGATAATTTAATGTAAATAGGCAATATGTTTAAATTAATCATTGTTTTAGATTCCATTGTGTGATCTTAATCAAGAAAAAGGTGAATTAGAAGAAAAATTTTGGAGATCCAATATAGCTTTATCAATTTTACCGGAAGAAGATGGACTTCAGTATGATAAAGAATTAAAAACTACATTTTTAAAACTGTTTGCTGTATGTATTGAATAAATATTAAATTTACTTATTCATGAATCATTTATGTTAACAAAATTAATTAATTCAACTCTTATTGATTTATTTAGATGGCATGTAAGAGTGGTCATGATATGAGAGCATTAGAGCTATGTAAACTTATAAGATCTGAGCAATATTTAAATTTAGCCCTCAAATATACAATGCGAGTTGGGAATAGTAGTTTAGCAACAAAAATTACAACAATTATAGAAAATGAAGCAATAGTAGATGATGGACCAAAACCAGTAACATATTCAGAATTATTTAATGGTCCATCAACTTCATATAAGTAAGTTGTACAATTTGATCATTATTTTTATCATAAATTGTATTTAAAAATGAATTAAAATAGTTGTATTTGTTATGAGGAGCTATTTTTATAACAGTTCAAATATGAATATAAATAAACAAATAATACCAATTATTTGAATGAATGTTCAATTTCATAAATTTAATTATATAATTCTATACAAATGAATAAATAGAGATTTGAAGGCAATAAAAACAATAAATGTCACTTAAAATGTGAAAAAAAGCAAAAAAAGCTTTTGTCTTCAAATTCATGTCGTAATAATAAATTAATAAATCATTATTTATTGCAATACAACTATTTAAACAGTAGGATTGATTTTTTTATCTTTATAATTGTTTACATAAAATATTTAATAACTACTATGAAGCTTGTCATAAAAAAAAGTACAACGTCCCCTTTTTTCTTTAGTGAGACAGTTCTTTGTATTTTTGAGAGTTATTTACTAGTTAAGAAGTATCCTATAGAAAACTCTACTATATTTAAAATGAGATACCTTTTCTACTGTAAATTATTAAGTGGAAAATTTTTCAGAAAATATTGACATATCAAAATCAAATTTGGACTAATCGTTCAAATCGTTTTTGAATTTATTGTATTAAGGATAATGGGCCCATGATAATCAGTTTGGGAGATTTGGGGCTATAATGGTGAGCTTATACATTTTAGTTTAATATTAATCTACCAACATTTATAATTTATAAAAATGGTCCAAATATAATAAACACTAGATCTAATAATGCATCTATTTTATATTTTTGTAGGACCATTTTTAAGCACTTTTATCCTGAGCATAAACATTCTAATAACTGAAAAAATAATAATTAATAATATCAAATAATAAATTAATAATAATTCTAATAACTTAATTTTGAATTAGATATATCAACATTTTCAAAAACATTATCCACTAAATAATTAACAGCAAAAGGGGGGGGGGAAACTTAATATTGTATCGCCATAGGATACTTTTTAATTAGTTGGTACAACAAATTTTAGGAGTTTGAAAATATGGTCTTTAAGTAAATTTAAAAATTCTAAAAAGAATTTGGATAAATTTTTATTAGATGATATACGGTGTATAACATATTTAATATAGTTATAAAGTAAAGTATTTTAAATTTATAGCAAGAATACAAACTATATTTCACAACAATCGCAAGATTTATTTTCTGAAAAATACAGTCCAAATGATAAGGAAGACAATAATAAAGGTAAGATTTTAATTTTATTAGTTATTAGTTTTTACTAATTTATTATTACAAGGGCTGAGAACTTCTAGTACTCAAAAATGTCAAAATATTTTATTTACATATTATGCATTTAGAAAACAAATAATATGCATTTAAAATATTCACTTAAAATATGCCTTAAAAAAATGTAATAGCTTATAAAATTTGGAACCTAAATTATAATGTTTTTGTGAATAAAAATATAAAAAATATAATTTTAATTAATTGATAAAAACTTGAAAATTATTGCATAATAATCAACCAACAGTATTCGATAAATTATTAGAGTCATCTGAAGTTTCTACTATCTTACACACGTCTCGATGTTATCAGGCAGATAGTGAATTACCTAATCCATCGGTTCCCAAACATTCTTAGCTCACGGCACCCTTTTTGAACTAATATTTTTTAAGGACGCCTTTCCCAAGTCATAGCATGACTAATCATAAAATATAAAAAAGTAATGGGTAATATGAAAATATACATAATTTATATATTTTTATTTACATGATTATAAATGTTTCCATCGCTATCATTGTTTTATTTTTTGACCATATGAAATTTTACCGCAGCATGATACCCCTGTAAAGACCACCATGGTGCGCACTTTCACCTGATTTAACCAATAACATTAATATTATTTTATATAGGTTAGGGAGATTTGGAAAATAATATTTTTATATTATGTATAATGTTATATTTTTATATTTAATATCAACATTTTCCAAATTTGTACATATATATGCTGTTGATTTATCTAATATACTCAAATATGTATTTATATGCAATAACAACAAAATATGAAAAAATTAGAAAAATTAAATCTTTAATAATATACCTTCTTGTGTTATGACTTATGAAACATATTTATTATTTATGCATCACTCACAGTATTCTGCAACCTTTCTAGGCAGAAATGAAAAAACTAGAAGTCTTCATCACTTATTATTACTAATGAATTTATTTATTATTAATAATATGCATTTTTATTTTAAAATCTGATGATTCAATAGTCAGATAATATAAACAGTACTGGGTCACTCCACTCACCTCTGTTCAGGCTTTCAAATTCAAAACCCATGATCAATTATTGTATTCCTAAAATCAGTTATAAACCAAGCTTTGTAAAACATTTAACAGGAATTCATATTTACTCTTAAGGAAACTATTTAGACTATTCCTACCTGTAATTATGTAATCATAATGTATGGAAATTAAATAAAAGTTATGTGGTATATTACTAAAAACAAAATCTAAACAATAAAATAATTGAAAAAATGTTGTTTGTTTTAAGTTGTAGAATCATCAAGTATTTTGGCAGTTATAAAAAAGAAACAAGAATCTGAACTGATGAATGAGTCCAACGATATAGATCGAGCTTTTAATCCATTTAAAAAAAAAACTGGTGGACAAGCTAATATTTCAATTGGTACTCTTTCGCCACTTGATCAAGTAAATTACTTTACATTCTATACACATTTTATTTTAACACAAGGTTTCAACATATTTTATATTTACTTAATTTTAAATTGTTTTAGACAAACGAGCCCTCGAATGACAATAAAAGAAAATCTGATTTAAATGACAGTTCCGAAGACATTAATTCAACAAACAAATCAAAAAAACCCAAAGGAGTTTCAAAGTTGTCATCTTTTATTTTTAAAAAATAATTTGTACTTTTATAACTAATAATTATTATTTTTATAATTTTTACTTCTAAATATGTGATTAGTGTATATATTATGTCCTAAATAAATTTAAGTCAAATTGTATTTTATAAATTTGGTTACTCACCAGTAAAGAAAAAATAGAAAATATATATATATATTCAACAATAAATCTTTAAATCACTATTTTATGGTACCTTGACCCCTTCCACGTGTTATGTTGTTACCTTAGAGATAAACTTTAGTAATGGTAGAAAATAATCAATAACTCATATCACCCCTTTTTAGTTTTTAAATGTACTATAAATTATATCTATTACACTCCAAAATAAACTTTACAATATGTAGAACTATTACAACACTATGGAATTTAAAATAACTAAATACTTACCAAGATTTAAAGAAGAATTACCACCAATCAATAGGCCAGCTCGTTCAACTAGTAGTAAAATAATTAAGGTAAACACAAAAATAAATATTTGTAAAAAAAAAACTAATCATTTGTAATATGAATATATTATTTTAGAATCTTAAAACTTCAATTGAACAAACAGAATTATTAAATAAAATTGATCCATTGATATTGGTTGCTCAGTATGAAAGAGATATCAATCGAATGAAAATTAATCACAACCAAATGTTAGAGGAACTTTATAAAGAATTAGAAATATTAAGGTCCAAGAATCGAGGTACCGTACAAATTATTCACAATGAATAAATTTTATTAAGTTTAATTTAAATTATTGTTTAGACCTTTTAGATGAATTGATTATCATGAATGGTGGAAACTATTGTTGCAAGCATTTAGAAAATTTGAGTTTTGATATTTTAAAATCTAATGCAAGTGATAATCAAAAACAACTGAGTGATATATTAAACAATGCTAAAATTCATCAGATATCTACCGAAGACATTAAAAATGATAAAAATTACAAGTAAAATATTCTTTTGTATTTTTTACTGTCTGTACTCCGTTTTATATAAGTATTAATTTTTATCAGTAGTGCCTAGTTAATTTAAAATAGGTGGTTTAAGTATTTTAATGCTTTTACAAATTTTAAACTATTATCTTAATTCTGATGAAGCATATAGAACAACTCCATTCAGCATTTCCTTATAGCCCACATGTAACTTTCCTATATAACACTTATTGGTTACTTTAATGGTTCAAATTCATTGCGTAATCACAGTAGTTAGCACCATTCACATATTCACTAAACAATAAATACATATTTAACTTACTATTCCAAAATTAAAATGAACATTGAATATTTTGAATATAAAATCATGTACTGTATCAATATCAGATAGTTGCATTTATGATTTACCTATACTGTCAATTGAATGACTAATAAGTGTTTTAAATTAATAATAAATACATTTTTCCAGCTATAAAAAAGAACTGCCCGAGTTAATAACTGCAGGGAATAAGTTCATAAGTAAAGATATTGAAAATAAATCAAATTTACTTTTGCAAGACCAATTATTTAAAAGCAATAAACTAATTGATTCACTTCGACAAGAAAATATTCAACAAAAGGCGGAGGTAATTTTTATAAATGTAAAATAGTATGATGTAAAAGGATTTTATTTTGTAGTAATATATTATAATTTTCTAAATTAACTAACTGAACTAAAAAAAATTCTATCTAGGTAATTTTATAAATACTCAAATATAAATCCATATGGACTTAAATGTTATAAATTGATGTTAATATAAAAATATATATAAAATACCTAACACATAGATTTAACATTGTAAAATTATCTAATTCTTATTTTATTAACAGCTAAATTCATTAAATTCATTATTAAATAAAGGATTGAAAATAACTGGTGTTGGATTGGATAATGGCCTGATCAAAACAAACTTGAATTCTGGCAAAAGATTTCTATCTTCGTTTTCTCATCCTACTTTTTCTTACATGGATATTATGAGTTCAGAGTAAATTATTATTGTTTAATTTAAAAGATAATATATTATTATAATGCTTGATGAAAGGTAGTTAGCTTAAATAATATTATCATTAATTTAGTGTTACTTATTATACACAATTTAAGATAGATCTTAAATTGTATTATTATATAATATGCATATCAGTATACTCATTGATTATAAATACCTACTAGTATTTATAATTAATGGTATATTACAATATAGACTGTCGTAGAGATAGAGTTACTTGGACTTAATGTTATTTGCTCATTTTGCCTCAAAATATTTATTTAATATATTATAATAATTATTTTCTTTATTTTCAGGGAAAGTTTACAGCCAGTCTCTAGGAATGAATAATTTGTATAATAATACACTGGGTGTACAGACATATAACATGTATACCATTATGTACAAGTTACAAGCTACTATTTAATATTTGTATACCTAAACTCGGTTGTTGGAAATCATAATATTAGATGATTAAAAAAAAAAAAAAAATGTTTAATGATTACCTACCTATTATACCTACTATTAGAATATTATTAATTCATTACTATAATATATTTATGTTACCTGCCCAAATATTTTTTTATATTGATAATTGGTAAGTGTATATTGTAGTACTATTACAGAATAACGTACTATAGTACATAGTGAATTTATTATAGTGATCACTTCCTATTCTTTATATTTTATATCAATTATTATTATTTTAATATTTATATTTAGCTATTTTCTGTGCCTAATAGTAGTTATTACTAAAATGTTATTATAATAATAGCTTTCAGTCAGATAAGGCTGTGCGTGCCCCGGATCCCTCTTATAAGTTCCGTCACCAATTCCGCAATCGCTGAGAGTGGATACTAATTACGGAGACAGAGTTGTTGGAATTAAATAGGTCGCACATTGAACGGGCTTGATAGCCGATAGGGTCCCTTGGTGCATCTTAGAACATCAGAGGGCTGAATACGATCCAGTCTTTTTCAAACAAAACAACGCTTATTTGTTGTAGTCACTACAACTGCACAATTCAAATGTAAATATTGTTGTTGCGTAGAGGTCACTATGACAATTTAGATTACATTTATTCTGTGCTATGACATATAAGCGCTAGTGCGGGAATTTCCAGCTGTTTGATTTTGATTTTAGAGATTAATTTTGGTAGACAATTTTCAAGTATGGGAATCATGGGTCGATGGGCAACCATACTATCTTTACTCGTGCAGTCGTGCATTACTTATCGAAATGACAAGATATTGAACTTTTTAATAGGTCAACATCAAATTATTTGGTACTCTCGGCCGCCCAGCCATTACGCTAGCACCGCCACTGCGAGAACCATGTTTGATTGTGTTGTAGGTCACTCACCTCTTTTGACAATCGAATGTTTGGTTAGGTTAGATCAGCGGAAGATTTAAATCAGTACTTCATGGAAAATGTAGTTTAAAATGTTTAAATGTTATAGGTAGTCAAGCTACATATGAACACCACGTACAATATATATTATATATAACAGTAAGTCTAGATAACAACCAATTTATATTGAAGCTTATAATAATATTATATTATAATCAAAAATAAAATAAAACATTGTAAAATATGTTATACCAGTATAATCTATGTAGTATACTACAGTATACTACTCTAAACATTGTCCTTAATCGGATTAACTTAATCCTGATGATGAGCATATAAATAAATTGTCTTACATAATTCACTCAAATATATTTTGTTGCTCGGCGTAATGTATAGGCAAAATAGGTACACTTCTGAAATGTTCGATATTGTTCATAATTACATTTTAATTCATCGCAAGTATATTAGTTTACCAGAATATACCTTTACCTTACAATAGGTAAATAGTTTATAAATTATTATTGCATACATATTTTTGGTGATGTTTAGAATCTTGGTTACAATTCATACCTAACTTATATGCAGGGCTTGTAAGTTCATGCATATTGTATATCAATCTTAATAAGATGTATTTAGTGCTAGATGAAATAGAAATTAATTTCAAGGTACGATGGTTAAGTATGTGAAGTTTAATTTTGCATATTCTGAGGTTATTGGCATTTGTCATTTCATACGTTTTTCTATTTTTTAGGGCTTTAACTCATAATTTTGATATAACTATATTGATATTATTATATTAACATACAATTTTTTTCTATTGAAATAATACGGAAAAATTAAAATTTAATTAAAAATGCAATAACTTATATTTTTTCACTATATTATAAATGTATGAGAATTGTCGCAATGTAAAATTATAAAAAATATGAATAGATAATCCTTGCTATTTCAAAAATTGCATTTGATGTCTTCATTTTTTAATCCACTTATTTTTAATGTATAGTTTTAGATTTTGAGTGCATATGAATGCATATATCTGAAATTTTAAAGGATTATTTTGCCAGTTTTTAGCGCATAAGTGAATGCTTATTTAATAATTTTTAGGGCTTGAACTTATAAGCCCAGCTTATATGACACAATGTGAATATCATTATTTAATTTAAGCTAGGTACAAGTTAAAATTATAATAAAACTTGTGCCCAATAAGCCTATACTACATGCTTAACTATACACAAATACAAATTTTATAATTCCTTTTAACATTGTTTTTATTTTTGTAGAATTGTATCATACCATATAAAATTTATATATTATTATACTCAGTACCTATAATACGGCCTCTTGATAAATCATATGTTCGTTTACAAAAATCTTTGTGATCTGCAATGTACCTATTCTAGTTTTCTATTTCTGTTATAGTTCGCATGCCAAATTTAACTACACAAACTGCAGGTCCGCAAGTTTATAGACATTCTAATACATCCTCCCACCAGTGCCCCTAGACACCGTGTTTGAGAAATTATATTTTTTTGGTACCTAATTAAATTACAATATGAATTATTATAAGTTACTTATGTAGGTACTTGTCCAAAACTCGACTACCGGGATTTAAATTTTAAAAAAAGGTGCTCTTCTGTACAGTAGGTTACAAGTGAGTCACTTTATTAATTTTGAATTCAATGATATAATATCATTGTATAAGAATGACGGTATGTCAGTCTAGGTATAAGACATAATTAAATACTTGTCTATGCTATTAAAAAAAAATTGTAACCATAATAAATTCCAAATTAATCATATCACAATAGCCATTAGGTACTTATAACTTGTTATACATTAACAACAAACCGTGATACTATAATAGATATATAATAGTATACTTCTATGTATACTAGAAGTTTCAATTACCCACGAATAATATTATACAATCACAACAAAAAAAATAAAATAGTTATTCTAGGTTTTTAATATGTAACTTCGTCCAAATTTGAACTTAAAATGACTATAAGAACAAACTGTGCTTATGTATTTTTTAGATTTTTTGGTCACAGAATAAAATACTTATCTTGTTTTAAATTTTCAATCCTTAGTTATAAAAGTTGAAGAGTTTATACATTTTCAACAACAAAATAATTATTCAATTTTAAATTTGATCAAAACTCGATCTTTAAATGATTATATATAAAAAAAAATTGTGCCTATGAATTTTTAATATTTGACAACTGCTATTCAAACAATATATCGGGAGCCTTGTATTTAATTTTAACACTTTTTGGCCTGACAGATAAAACTTTATTGATATTCATAGAAAAAGAAGGTGGGCAAATGGGTGTCGCTCTGCTGTACAGTAGGTTACAAGTGGGTCACTGTATAATGGATGGTATTAAATTTGAATTCAATGATATAATATCATTGTATAAAAAAAAACGATTCTGAGCGGAGACGGTATGTCAGTCTAGGTATAAAACATATTATATACATATCTATGGTATTAAAATAAAATTGACCTATAATAGGTACCTATAATAAATTCCAAATTAATCATATCACAATATCCATTAGGTACTTATAACGCGCTATACACAAACAAAAACCGTGATACTATCATAGATATATAATAGTACACTTGAAACAATATAGGTACTAGGAGCCTTTTATTAACCAACAAATAAAATTTTATTGACATTTATAGAAAAAAAAACTAATAAAATGGGAAACTGAAAATGTCCCTCAACAGTTCAAACTTCAAAACATATCAAATTATTTATTTAACATGTATAGAAAATGCAAATATAAACAAGCAGTGAAAATTTCATGTATGTACGTTCATTTGTTTTAGAGTTACACCAAAAACCAAAATTTTGCGTAAAAAATCCCGTTTTTCCTTAATTTTTATGTTGTTTTTCCCGGCGCTTATAAAAACTATGGGGAATTTTAAAATTTGACCTTCTGAATGGATAGACAAAGAAATATTATTTTGTCGGTCTCCAATGACTAAGTAATGATTTTGCAGCTAACAACGTCTTCTTAACTCTCGCCAACTTAGCCACACTGAGGTAATTGGTCGCTCATCTGTAGTGGATAAGCAGAAATCTACCCCTACTCGCTGTGTGCAGATCAAGCCTATACATTTTTCAATTCATAAGAGATGATAACTACATATTATTTGCTGTATCTAATTACACGGTCTTCATCAAAAATGAAGATTTTTTTAAATTTTAAACCAACGACACGATTCCGTGGGATCTGCTTTTGCATTATGTCTGTGGTATTAACTATTACTATAACGGATTCCTAGAATTTTACATACACACTGAACCACTTATAAAGTTTAATAATATTACACATTAATAGAGAAGTGTTTATCGGATGTCAAGTCGTTGCAAGTATGTGAGGTGCACAAATAACAATGAACTCCGTTGTAGTTGAATTGCCTATACAAAGCGCCGTGTTATCTTAATTTTGTAATTCATTTTTTTTAAATACATTAAAACTATATTATTATAGTATTATAATTTATGATTTACTGGAAAAATAATCCCAATGGCAAAAATAAAGAACCGTAACGTATTAACCGTGCTGAGTGTAAAGCAGGAAAAACACATTTTTTAGAAAAATGTATACAATAGGAACACAGATTAAAGAGATCAAACTAAAATGTCTAGACTCAACAGAAAAAAAATTCAAAATAATTAGTTCATTAAAGAAAAATAATTCGGGAAAAATGCAGGTTCTCAATGTTCAAAAATCTATACCAAAAAATCAACTAGAGGCACACTTCTACAAAAAAAATTTATCGGAGTGTTGGCGCCCGCAGGCAATGCATTTTAAAAAACCAAAAAAAAAATTTAGAAAAAACTATACAGTAAGAACACACCTTAAAGAGTTCAAACTACAATCTCTAGAATCTTAAACAGAAAAAACCAATTGAAAATGATTAGCTCATTGTAGAATGATAATACAAAAGACACCTGGATGTTATCAATATTCGTCTGTGAAAG